TAATGTTAGTTCTTATCATTAAGAGATATTAAAAGTAAGTAACAACGTAATGACATGTAATATTAAGTGACATGTGACAGATATTAAAATTGAGTAACGAAGTGATGACATGTAACATTAAGTGACATGTGATAGATCATTCTGTATACAAAATGATGTTGTCTTATAATATTTCAAAAATAGTTCATTTTCATCCTTGGCTTTTAACATTTTGAACAATAAGTTTCCTTCTTTATCTTTTGCTTCACCTTTATACTAAGGTGTCTTTTTCCTTCCTTTGGCCATCACTGCAATAGCATTCACACTGCCATGTTCCTTCATTTATGCTACAATAATTTTGGTAGTTGAGAGATGAAGTTTGAATTGATAAAAATTTGAGTTTGTTGGGTTGTATTTGAAAGAGAAAAGATGAGATATTGGTATGAGGAAAGAAAGAATTGGGAAAGAGAGGAAGAGTGAAGTTACTATAGTAAAAAAAGACGAAGTAAATGTCATGAAAGAAGGGAATGTCATTGTAGCAGTAGATAAAGGAAAGAAAAAAGACACACTAGAAGAAGGCTAAACAAGGACCTTAATTGTCTAAAAATATTAAAAGTTGGGAACAAAAAGTAAATTATTTTTAAAATATTATAAAACAACGTTATATATATCTAAAATAAACTGTCACGTGTCACTTAACTTTCCATGTCATCATTCCGTTATTTAATTTTAACATCTTTTAATGGTAAGAACTAACGTGATTGACAATTGTTAATTTTATAGACTAAAATTTAAAGGATTAATTTTAGTCAAGTTGTATATTTCAGGAACTAAAGAGAGAATTTACTAAAAAAAAAGTATCCAATTGAAAAAATACCAAAACAAAAAATAGAAAATTTTTATTTCCAAAAAAAAATATCTTATTACAATTAAACAAATGAAAAAAAAAATTTAAACATCTCCTGCAACAATAGGATTCACTTTGATTATCTCATCTCAACTCAAACAATCATATTCCTATGTCAAAACTAAAATAGTAAAGTCTATTTATTTCTCTTTTTAAATACAATTTTTTATCTTTAAAAGTAAAAAATAATAAAACTTATTTGTTAACATAAGTTTTTAAAAACTATTTTTTAAAATAGTTTTTCATTTTTAGTTTTAAAATCAAAAAATAAAAATAGCCTTTAAAGTGTTGTGTTTTGGTTTTTTCATTTCTCTTTTCAAAATAGTTAAAAATATTTTTAAAATACATATTCACTTGTCTTAATGTATAGGGTTATTCACTATTTTTTTTGTGATATTATCTATTCATATTATTTATATTTATTTATTAAAAAATGATTTTAATTTTAAAATTGATCATTATTTTTAATTTAATATTAAATTATATTTTGTAGTTTTTATAATTTATTAAACTCTATATATATTGATTATTACTTCATAAACAAGAATATTTTTCAGTTCAATATTAATTAGATTTGATATTTTAACAATTGTTTAATTTAATATTTATTTTAAATACAAAAATATCTTTAAGTAAATAAAAATTACTGAAATTAAATATCATATATATATATATATATATATTCATTTAATTTAAAATACTAAATGAAAAAAGTAAATAAAACCAAACACTTTTTTTAGTTTTTAAAATTTGTTTTCAAAAATAAATTTATCAAACAAATTTTTTTAATTTATCATCTTAAAAAAGCTAAAGAGATAAACAAATTTTATTTTTTAATTTTTTTAAATATAATTTTTTAAAATTCAAAATTAAAACAAAAAAACACCTTTAATATTTTTTTATATTTTAAAAATATATTATAATAATTTATTACTTATAAACTTCAATGGAAACTGTTAACTTACATACTCCAAAAATAAAAATAAAAAAATACAAGTGATAATTATGTTAACAAACATCTTTCTTTTATAACAAAATTTTTAATAAGAGATAAATACATTAAACGGCTTTCTATTTTAAAGTAGAAAAAGATATTGAGCTAAAGTAAAATAATAAATTATTTTATAAAATAACAAATTTATTAGTACGTGTAACTAGAGATAGAAATAGGTCAGGCTGTTTGATAGAGACTTATAATCGAATATTTTTAAAGTCTATGCCAGCCTAGTCTATTTAATTAATAAGCTTAATTTAGACTTTTTAAAAAATTTAATTAATTAAATAGATTAGACTTGAGCTTAAGAAAAAACCTATTAAACTTATTAGAATGACTTATTTAAAATTTATAATAATATATTAAATAATTTTATATAAAAATTATAATAGAATAATATATTAAATTTTAAATTAAAAATCTTAATTTTTTTATTAGAATTGAAGAATATCTCTACTACGTACTTTTTATATAACATAATTTTATTTCAAAGTTTCATACTGTAATTATATAGAAAATAGTAAAGAGTAGAATTCTATAATATTGTGTGATAAATATAATATTTCTTTGTTATATTTTTAAAAAATATTGTTGTTTTATATAAGTAACTAATAATTGGTATTGTAGTTATATAATCGACTTTCAAATATAAGAACACAGTAATTATTATAATACATTAGCAATTTTATTTTTTATTTTAATACTAAAATATTATTATTTTCATTTTTTACATAAACAATATTATTAAACATTTAACTCTTATGTATAATTATAAATGGTGTCTTCTTATTATAACATTTTTATTTAAATTTTTATTAGATTTTTATTTTATACAATCATAAATATTTAGAGCATATTTATTTGTATTTTTAAAGACTTTTTTTAAAAGTAATATATATATAATTTTTAAAAAGATAAAACATTTTTTAAAGAATACAAAGAAACGTACTTTTAGTTACTTTTTATTTATATTTGTAATTATTATTGTAATATACATCGTAACATTACATTATTTGATAATTATTTATATTACCGTAATTGTTTTTTTGTTAAATAACATTTTATTAAGGATAAATTTAGAATATAAGGAGTACTCTAACCTGTTATAACTCTAAAATAAATTAATAATACATGTTAAGGGATTATTAATCCAATTCGCATATACAATTACAACTCCTCTCTATTTTTTTTTTTCACATTAGATTCCATACATGCTTAGTAACGTCTTGTGCAAATTTTCAGATAAGCATAAACTGACACCTAATCATTCAAATACCATGTACCACAGTTTCATGGAGACATTGCAATGCAAAAAAGATGTAATATGTCCTAATCTTCAGTATCACACAACCCACAAGCTTATGAGAAAATCGTTAATCAACGTTTAGTTAAGTTCTTTCGCATCAGGACTGCATTAAGCAATAGACGCTAAACGAATACCACTACCTTGCTCAGTGTACTAACCTTCCAAATCTTGTGTAAGGCCTGCACTAGACCTAACTCCAAACCACTACCTGCAGTAAAAAAATGATGAATGTAGTGATAAGCAACATGTCATTCATATTTTTTCTCGGCCTCTTACTCTCCATAGTTTTCCACAACTGTTGTTATAAATCCTCCTTCCATTAAAATAATTGCCTTCTCCAAAGATTTTTTCACACCCATTAACTCATCTCAAATTGTCCATTATCCATCACCCACACCTTCTTATTAGTCATGTTGAAAACAGCCTTAGGTATAAATTTGTCAATGCAATATTTTCTGCCTATTTATCTTTTCAAAAACTAAAAGAACAAATATCGTCAAGTACTTGCGTGACATTAGAATCTATCCATCCATTTACTTGCTTACAAGCCCATACCACATCCCTCCACCAATCTGAAGCATTGAGCTATCTCAAAAGAAATTAACATATCTACACATGATTCATATCACACCCATAACACATCAAAACACGAGTTTGGAGACTTTAAACATCTCCAAACCCATTTACCTAAAAAGCTCCAATTGAACCATTCCACATTTCGCATCCGTAGACCGCCATCATTCTTTGGCATCCATACTCTTTCCAGTTTAACCTAAGCTATTTTTAGTGATTCTTTTACGCCACTCCAAAGAAATTAACGTTGAATCTTCATCACCTTTTTAGTTACATCCGGTGGCATTTTTCAAAAGGATAAATAATGTAGTGAAGGACTATTTAAAACATCATTAAGAAGTGTTACTCTACCCCTAATAGAAATGTATTTATACTTCCAAGATACTAGTTTATGATTAAGCACCTTATTAAGTTTTTGCCAAACAATTTTTCTTAGTTTACCCCCAACATAGATGCCTAAATACCGAAAAAGCAATAATCCTACCTTACAATTTATAAATCGAGATGCTATGTCTAAAAAATCACCTATCACATTCACACTCACAATACAACTCTTATGAAAATTAATTTTAAATTCCAAATATAAGCTCAAAGCTTTGTAAAATAGCTTTTATCATCCATAAATTTTGCTCAATAACTTTGCATATGATCAAAGTATCATATAAAAATTATAACAATGAAATTTCTAATCCATCACTAACTTTAATTTCTAAAAAAGACTCTTTAAGATAGCACTTCTCATCAATCTTCCACTGCTAATAAAAATAAAAAAAGAAATAAAAGATTGCCTTATAAATAAAAATAGTTTTATGATCACGGTAATCTTAAACCTTAAATCCTGAGCTTTAAATTACTATTAACAGAGTAATGCTTTGATCTGTGATGAAAAAAAAATCCTAATAAACATGTAAAATTGTAAATAATATTTAAAAAATTATAAATAAAAACTAATTATCTAATATTATAAAAACTAAAAAAAAAAGCAATAGTATACCATCACAATTCATAAGAAATGAAATTATAATATTATAAAAATAGTAAAATAAAACAAATTCTCAAAATAGCTACTACCATTGACGTAAAATAATGTTAAATATTAATAAAAGATAGTTATATGTAATATTTAATTAAAAAATAACTACAGTTATGTAAAGTAACAACATTATTTTTCTTTTTGTGATTTTATTGTTTAACAATTTATAAATACTTTCCAATGAACATTAGATAACTATGTAAATAATATATAATGCAGATTAGTATAAAGAATATACTAGGTATGTTAAACTCCATGGTTTGAGTGTTAAGACAGACAAAAACGTATTACACTATTTCAGTCTTTCGTAACTCATTGTTAAAGTACTATCGCCTACTCCATTTCAGCTAAAATGAGACCGAAGATAATATTTATTTACATACAGTATATACATTGTATGCTCATGCCTTCTCCTCCCCAAAACACGAGCAAAATTTGTTGAGAGGATTGGGCCAAAATTCGAAAGAGTCAAGAACTGGATGCTATATCTTCAATGAAATGGATGATTGCTTTCAAATGCCAGCAGGGATGAGATCCTTTTCAACATCAGTTTTGTGATCATCTTCCAATACCATCCAAGGTAAAACAGGACCCTGAACATCATACTTGATTAGTTACAAAGTCTAATTAATTTTCGAGGTTACTGCAACGAGCAGTAAATATAGATGCTATACAACATGCTATATAAGTAAACGTGATAACTAGCAAAAGGATATGATATCACATCCTCCTCCAAAGATTGATTGAAGAAACAAAACTACAAAGTATTCAATGAAAACAAAAACATTTATTATATTAAAAAAACAAAAAATGTAACCAATACTTCTAAACCACTGCCTTTAGAATACTAGTTAGCATTTACCAAGACCCTTATTATTATTGCATTGCACCTCATTACATTTTTCAGGCGTTCATGATGAAGTAACTAACCCATCCATCTAAAACATAGAACCTGCAAATTGACAGCTTACTACCTTTCCTTGTCGTAGTACTTTGGGAGGCATTTTTGTCATGTCAACCACTGTGGATGGTTCGGCCACTCTAAGACCACCATCAACAACAAAATCAAGACCCTGAACAACCAAAATAAAGGTGTTAAGTGCCTCTCTTTTAACTGTTCTTTTTTCATTTTCAAATAGCAAACTCTTTGGGTTTGGTAAAGCGGCTAGAGCCAATATTCTTATAATAAATAGGATGCAAAGCATGTGTTCAATCACATTCTTATGGGAAAATGAAAAATATGATTCCCTAGAGAAAGATGACTACGCAAATTAATGTACAATGTACATGATATGGTCTATTTCTAAAAAGCATAATACTAGTTCCCTTTTTCTATAGAACAGGGGCCAAAATAATTATTTCTATATTTAATTTATACTGACAAAACACATTAACACTTAATAGGAAGAGTAATACCTCAGGTCCATACGTATCAGCTATCATAACTGGATCAATCATCCACTCATCTTCTTTCAGGAACTTGATGCTAAAAGAAAGATAAAAAAATTCCAAAGTAATATTGAGGTATAATTATCAACTATTATTCTCCATATTCTTATCCAACAATTACGAAAATTTGGAGGAGGAAGAAGGGGGAAAAAAGAAGGGGGGGGGGGGTTTGATGCCCTAATGAGTAATGCACTTACTGTGTGTGTTTACAACCTTGACTTTAGATGAACTTTGATTTTGCAAAATTGATTTAGGATTAAAATTGAATTTGACAAAGTGATTTATGTTCTGAAATCTCAAAAGCAAGTTTTAGTATAAAATTCTTGACTCAATGCAAAAAGTTAACAAGAGTTGCTTTTACTGGAATCATGTTTAACCACCACATAATCATGCAGGAAAATAAATTCCAAATAAGATTTCATAAACAAAAATCCATTGAAACATAAGAAATGTGGGTTTGGGTGCTGAATGCCAAGCCAAACATACACAAGCACAATGATCAAAAGTGGCTGCCGAGGTAGCTGAGGTGGGATGGAAAACAGCCACCTGCCTTAGATGGCCTAAGGCAAAAAGGATTGGACAAAGTGAGCAATGCGGCTGCTGGCTGCATCAGGGTGAAGTGGTTGATGCTCCTTGATTATGCATTTTTAATTACTCTCACTAAAATGCTTGGCAGAAAAAGGATGTTATTAGAATATATAAAATTATTCACTATTGTCTTGATTATATCTTGGAATATCATTTAGGATTAATTTCCCTATTTTCTCAATATCTCTTAGGATTACTCATCATATTTCTTCATCTCATGATTTATTTCATTTGTATTATGACTATGATTAGTATAAATATGAGCTAGTGCTTAGGTTTCAAGAACATATCATCACATTGTAATACATTCCTGTTATGAATAATTATAATAGACGTATTAGGATTAGGGTTTATGTTAATGTTATAATAACGGACTTGGCCAGTAGGGTTACATATGTATCCTTATATATATAAGGGTCTCTACACATTGTAGAAAATCCAATTCCAGCACACTAATCTCTCTATCTCTCTGTTCTCTCTCTTAATTCTACATGGTATCAAGAGCCTTCTAGGGTTACATTCCTGTTATAAATAGCTATAATAGACGTATTAGAATTCAAATTTATGTTAATATTATAATAACGGACTTGGCCAGTAGGGTTACATATGTATCCTTATATATATAAGAGTAATCCAATTCCAGCACACTAATCTGTCTCTCTCTGTGTTCTCTCTCTTAATTCTACATGGTATCAAGAGCCTTCTAGGGTTCCTCCTTCGTTGCCACCGCCGCTGCCGCCACCACCACCGCTGCTGCAAAAAAAAAAATAGAAAAAAAAAAAACAGCAGCTTCAGAAAAAGGTCGACCATGGTCACTAGAAGAAATTTTCATCCCCACAGCAATTGAGACGAAACCCAAGCAATTCCATCACTGTTTGTGGATATACAATGTCTGAACGTGATAGCCAAAATGTGCAGGATGCGCAGCACAAGGGGACTGTTACAGATATTGTATTTCTATCCAAACTTACCAATGTTAAGTTGAATGGAGATGATACGAATTATATGGAGTATAAGTATTTGGTTGAGATTAGCTTAGGTGGACTGGGAAAGGATAATCATTTAACTGAAACGACACCTATCAGTCCTAAGGATGTTGACACATGGACGATCCTTGCGTTGCTAGTAAACTTTGTTAATAGGCGAATACAAGTGATTATTACCTATTGCAAAACCGTGAAGGAGTTGTGGGACTTCTTGTAATTTATTTTTGGGAAATCTGAAAATTTGAATCAGTTGTATGCTCTCTTGCTAGAAATTTATTGACCCAAAAAAATAAGCAGAAAAGGACTACTTTTTGGAGTTTAAGAAACATACTGAGGAGATACAATTTCTTTTAGCCTGCAAAACCATTGACTTAACAAAAGAAACTTATGGCTTTGAGTTGGCTCTCCGGACTTGATCCAGAATGAGGGAGTTTGATCTCAGATTCTGTCAAGTAAGCAGGTTGATAATCTTACCAATGTCTTCTCTAAAGTTATGCTGTCTTCCTTTGAGGAACTCAAGAGCACTACAGAAAATGAGTTTCTTGACCACTCTACCTTGGCAGCCCAATACAGTCACCGTGATGGTTGCAGTGGTGGTAGAGGTAGTCGTGGCCGTGGACGTAATGGAGGTCGTGGTATTGTACAGTGCTATAACACTGGCAAATTTGGTAATTATCAGAATCAGTGCACTCACCCTCCACATAATTAGTCGTTTTTTCACTCACAAGCAAGGTAGTTAAAATCAGGATTTTACTTCAAATCGTTAAGGGAAGTAAAAATCATAAATCGAATCGTAAGATTTTACAAAAATTATATATACATGAATATAAGTTTATATTTTGCATATAAAATAGCTGAAATTAAAAAATATATATTAAATCACTAAAAGTACTCAAATAATCCGTATTCCATAAGAAAGCTATCAAGCATAATCCATAATGTAACAAATTAACAACCCAAAATATCCAAATCACCGTGTTTTTGGTAAATTACAAAGCACAAACACCAAAATAGCATAAGAACTACTAACTAGTAATATTCTAAGAGTTCTAATTTATTTTCATGATTTTTCTTTCAAACTAATCATCTATCTTGTTCTGTTGTCTTTTAGGTATCATGCTTCTCTAGTAAAAAAAGCATCCCCGGTCCACTTATTCTTGGTCACTGATCGTCGTCATTATATTTCTAGCAAGAGCTAATACTTGTGTTGTGTCTCTCTCCAATTTCTAATCTCCTCCACCATGCTTTTTTACCAATTGTCCTATCTTCCTTCTTGGCTATTAAAATAGTATCCTAGTCATGTTCTTTATTTTGATCATCTCCTTCACATACTTTTCAACAGTGTGCAATTGCATCAGTGCAGCCACCACTACATTGCAAGGTATTTTTCCTGCTACAATGATCGTGGCCAGAATAGGACACACATCACGTGCTAAAGGGGAAACAATGGGACACCCTCCCTTTTTTTTTTATTTTTAAAATGCACTGTTCTAACCCTTTATTAAGTGTTTGAGGACATTTCCTTCTTTATGAAAAATATATTATAAAAACAAGAAGATTGCATGAATTCAGTCTCTCATTCTTCCTCCATATGAAAAGTCAGGGACTTGAAAGGTCACTTCCCTCCTCACCTACTCCATTTTTTCGGAGAGATCACCTTTTCTTGCATCTAGCCATTTTTGCGGTGAATGTGTAACGGTATATGTTTGTGCGGCTCTTCTCCTAATTGTAGAAGAAAGTTGTTGCTAGTTATAGCTCTAGAAAAGAAAAGGATGTTATGTAGGATGAAGTGTGAGAAATCAAAGTAGATGAAGAAACTAAAAACGAAGAGAAAGAAAATATCTACAAAAGTAAAAATGAGGAGTGGCAATGAAGAGGATTATCACTTTTAGACTTAAACTTTATCATATGACAATATTTTTTATGTATGTACGATTTTTGCATGTATCCAATCTTAACAACATGCTATGGTTGTGATAGTGTCTCTGTCTTTTTGCTCTATGATAATATGGTAGTATTTTATTTTTTGTATGTAAGATTCTTTAGATATGTGTTTGTGACTATATGTTAGATTGACAATATATTTTTTTTGCTTAAGTGACTATCTATAATAGTATATTTTATATAATATGAGACTTATGCTATAATGTTTTACACTTTTAATTGGAATGATCATTATATGATTATTTTTGAAAATTTCTTGAGCAATATGTATGTAATTTTGTGTACATAACATATTATGTGTATCACAAAGTTTTTAAATAGCGATCATCCCACTATAGCGTTTTAGGGTCAGTCACTCAACTTTGCTACTTCACTGCTTTGGTCTCCATCCCCTATTTCCCTTCCCGACCACCTTTTTTCCTATCTTTTTGATGTTTTCATTGCTATCCATTGTTGCAAGCCATCTTTTAGGATAACTTATTTAACTACCACCCACCGAATCTGCCCCCCCATCCCAAGATCAATCAAACCTTGCCAAACAACCCATGCCTAGATCACACACCCACACACATGGGATTTTTCGAAATCATATGTCAAAACCTAATTGCCATGTTTGACCATTGTGTGGTAGTGCATTCTAGCCACTCTCCAAACAATCTTAGAAATACCAGACTTATGCCATCCCCCTCATTCTAGATCTGCCCTTGGTTGATTAGTTGTGGGTTGTGGATCTTTATTCAAGTTTTTCACTATTGTTTGGTATCATTTTCTCTCTCCTCTTATTGATACATGATCTCCTCTACTCAAATCTGCTATCTTTGGTTTGCTTTGTGCATTGTGGGAACTTGGAGGCATCATCCTAGGTTTGCAGTTATCTTGAGTTATTAGCCTAGCCCCATAGCTATTCAAAGATATCAACTTGGTCAAGTGACTTTCAAAGAGATATCATATTGGCTCCATAGCTTTCCAATTGGCCTGGGACATCCCAGAAGATCATCCTAGCCCAATGGCTTTCCCAGGAAATCAATTTGGCCCCAAGGCTTTCCTAGAGAATCATCCCCACTACATAACTTTCCAAGTGAATCATCCTAGCCTAGCTATTTTAGTTTTACGGCCACAAATGTTATTGTTTAATTTCTTTTTATCTAAAAACTAATATTTATAACAAGCTTAAAACTTAATGGGCTTTAACTTGAGGAAGTGTTAAAATCATAGTTGTTAATTTTGGATAGCGGCTGACCCTTAAAACGCTATAGTGAGATAATGTATAGTGAGATGACCACTATGTAAAAATTTTATGATACACATATTATATGTTATATAAACAAAATTGCATACATAAGACTCAAAAAGTGCTCATGATTAACCACATAATTATCATTTCAAGTAAAAGTGTAAAACAGTATAACATAAGTATTATATTAGACAAAATATACTATCATAAGTAATCACATAAACAAAAAAAAATATATTGTCAATAACATAGAGTCAAACACATCTAATGAATCTTACCTAAGCAAAAAATAAAAAATATTACAAACTGTCATGGAGTAAAAAGATAAATACATTACTACAACCATAGCATGCTGTCATGAGTCAAGACTATTACATAAACAAAAAATATTGTCATATGATAAAATTAAAGTCTAAAAGTGATTTCCTAGATCTTAATCTAATCAGATTTTATTTTCGATAGATAATCCTCTTCTTCATTATTATTCTCCCCTTTGTTACTTTTGTAGATGTGTTATTCCTCTTCTTCAATTTGTTCATTTACTTTTATTTCTTACTCTTCATCTTGCATAAGACCCTTCTCTTTTCTAGAGTTAGAGTTTGTAGCAACTTTTGTTTTCAACCAGGGAAGAGCCGCACAAACAAGTACCATTATATAGTCATTGAAAAAATGGTCACATGCTGGAGAAGGTGATTCTCTAGCAAAATAGAGTGGGTGAGGAGGGAAGTTACCGTTCAAGTCATTGAATTTTCCTATTAAGGAAAAATGAGAGATTGAGTTTATGCAGTCTTCTCTATTTTTATTAATATATTTTTTATAAAGGAAATGTCTTTTTAACCCTTAAAAAAAGGTCAAAACAGTTCATTTTGAAGGGAAAAAAAATAGGGTTTCCCATTCTTTCTCCTTTAGTGTGCGATAGCACGCGAGTGTGCCCTGTTCTGGCTGCAAACAGTGCACAACCATCACAACAGGAGAAACACCCTACAACACACTGGCAGTGGTGGCCAATGGTCGTGCTGTGTCGGCATGATAGTGCCGCTATAGCACGCTATTGACAAGTATGGTTAGATTGTATCAAATAATCACAATTATCTTGATCATATCTTGAAATATCTTATTTTATCCATTAGGATTGATTTCCTTATTTTCTAATTATCTATAAGGATTGGTTATCATATTTCCTTATCTCATGATTTGTTTCCTCTTTAGTTCTAACTATGATTAGTATAAATATGGTTGGTGCTCTAGGTTTCATGAAAATATGAATACTACACAACAAAATACTATTCAAAGTCTTTACTCTCAATTTCCTCCATCAATACCTAAAATCCTATTTTTTCAACAGGTGTCTATCTAAATGGGTATTTCATTCCTAACACCATCTGAACTTAATATTAGCCAGTGATTCAAGTAATAAAAAAAAAAATCCTAAATATAGTATTGAGACTTACTTGTCGCCCTGAGATTTACAATTTAGAATCTGAAGCTCCCTTTAACTTCTTATCCTATGCTCCTATTCACACAGTGTCGTGTCTATTCTGGATTAAAGCAACAGATTTCCCCCTTTATTCTCAGTTATTTGTCACTGAGTTCCATTTGCATTGGGTTAGATGGTGCAATTAAATTAATATGTGTCTAGCATTATCAGTTTTGATTCTTTATGTTTTAATGTAATGTAATGTAAAGTAAGGGTTTGTTTCCATTTAAATGCTATTTGATCATGTTTGTTGTTATATTAATAATTTTAGTTACTTGTAAATATCTGTATCACTTCAATGAAAGTGATGTGCTTCTGGGGGGTGGCCGCCTCAATCTATCTTTTGTCTCACAACAACTCTGGTTACTAGAAAATAATATTTTTTTCCAAGGCAAAGAGGAAAACAGGATCAAACAAATTAAACAAACCTTGTACTTATTAATGGTGCATCCATCTCTTTCAGTATTGCTTGACAAATGGCATCATCAGGCATACGGACACCCACATTTTTTCGTGATGCATATTTGGCAGCAGAAGTCCCAAACCTTATGCACTGCTTAGGTAATTCTTTGCTTGCAATTAGGATGAATGTGTACTGTCACACAAACATAACCACAGTTAAAAATAACACGGTAGTTATTAGGAGGTAATCATCATAGGATTTTAAATACACATTCACAAAAATTAATGATAAATGAATTGATAGAGACATCCTTGCACCTAACAACTACAATATGAAGTTCCTTTTTCCTTGAGATTTTGGCAAACAAATCTGAATGTGTTTAAATATAGAATTTTTTTTTCTTTATGCTAAGATACACAAACACATCACTTTTATCAAGGTCATTCAACTTGGTAGAAAACACCAGGAAATAATGAGAACCTACTTGATAGTATGAAGTATTGCAGTAATTCATGGTCTCTACAAAAAATAGCAGGTTGCACCAACTAAATTCCTCCCTCCAAAAATTGTTAAAATGTTCATAAATTCATCAATTGTTTTCTCTTAAGAACCAGATAACATACTTACAGGACCAGGTAAGTAATGCTTAACAGCTTTGAATAAATTTGCATGGCCTTGACCATCACCACGTGGAAATCCGGCTGTGTACTTGTCTATGTCCCGAAATGAGTGGCACAAGATACTAAGAGGCTGCAAGTAGAGTTATCATAAACATTAATGAGTGGAAGTAATATTACTAGATACAGATATACATCAAGAAAGTTGTTGTGACAAACACAATCCAACCTAAATAAATGTAAAGTAATTGCAAGTACGTGACATGCACCATAATGTGAAAAGTAGCAGGCCAATTGGAAGCACATCAACAATTGACAAAGACAAGCTACACTTCTCACCTTTGAAGCTTCTATATTCTTGATTCTGCAACACAACACTACACCCAATGTTAATGGAATAGAAAATGAAGCATCCAGGAATAATAGTGGTTAAGATCGACAAGAGAAATGCTACCTACCTACGAAGACGTTCAATGGCTGAGTTGCTTCTGAGGTCACATGCTATTGCATACCTACGTAAACAAAGAAAACTCAACACTGGGTAATTATGGACCCCCATCAAATTATTTACATGTGGATCAGAATAAAATGAATGTTAATGGATAACAAGACTGCTTTGTGTGTGTGTGTGTGTTTGGATACACAGCTTAATTAAGTGCTTATACCATAAATTTAACTACAGATTTTATTAGAATGAGCTAAAAAGAGTTTATTTTGATAAATTATATCAAGAAAATAGAGCTTAAGGGAGTCATAAGCTATTTCCATAAACTCTTCCAAACAATGCCTAAATGGCTTTATATAATGATATCATAGTTGAAATGTAGAAACATTGTGAAATTATGGCAGTGGATAAAGGAACACTCACAGGGTATCAGTGGGAATAACTCCAACAGCACCTTGTTTCAAGAGATGGATAACTGGTTCCAATTTCCATGAATCAGAAGCAGATGGGTTTGCTTCAATGTACACCAAACCACCCTCCTATTCATAAACCATTATTAATTTATCAGTTAATTATCATTAATTAATCAATCAATCAAATCCAAGTCAACGGTTGCATTAAACGTGGCACGTTAAAAGAAACAAGATAAAGGGAATAGAAGAGAAGAGAAGAAGACCTTGGTGAAGCGAGAAGCAGAAGTGTATTTGAGACGCTTGGGGCTGCGCTTAGTGCCCATGGATACTACGCGGGACTTGTGGCTTCTGGGTAAACCAAACGACAAATGGGTGCTAGGAAACGACACACGAGAGCCGAAGAATGAAGGAGCGTCAAAACGGCATAGCTTATCACCACAAACGCAAATCATTTGCATTTTGGTTTGAGTCAAGTGTGTAAGGGTAATCTGCTACAACAAATTAGAAGGTTGAGGAACGTGAGCATGCTCTATTTCGCCAACCCCCAACTTTTCCGTGTCACTCTGTGCCTTCTACCTATGCTGTGGCCTGTGGCCTGTAGCAGTGATCAATGCAAAAGAATTTTCTGGTTAGCAGTGTTCATCATCGTCGTCACGTTTTCTAACGACGCCGTTTAATAGTTTATATTAGTCCATGATGCTTGACAATGCATTTTTATAGTTTTAGCAGTAAATTCCCACACTGGATTACGGACCAAATAAAAAAGATATTTTTATTCTTTTAAAATTAATTATTAAGTCTTTTAAAATAAAAAAATTCATATTTTATTTTTGAATTAATATTTTTAAAGATAAATTTAAGAATTAGATATATGTAAAATATAAAATAAAACGATTAAAAGGTTAAAACTATCTCATATTTTAATTTAAAATAATTAAATAGTTAACTTATTTTCTAAAATTTAAAATATCTACCTTTTTTTTCCAAAGACTGTTTCACTCTATTTTAGTTCATGAATAAAAGAGGGAAGGAAAAACTTTATTTTTAGCCCCACAAAGGAAACGTTTGAAGAAAATTTAAAAAAATTATAAAAATAATTTATAACTCATATAATCTTTCCTAATTTACTTTAATAAATTTCATAATCTAAATCCTCATATGATAAATCATATTAAATAAGTGCTTACTTAAATAACGTATCCTAAAAAAAATCTTGCCTGGCAGAATTTCTCATTATAACCCATTTTATTATAACAATTTTTATCCTACAAACGCAATCAATTAAAAATTATTTAAGTAGTAATAAAATTACTATAATAATGTATTAAGTGCATAAAACTTACCACAAATTTTCTCATTTTACCCCACTTGTCTTTTTCAAATGTCTTTTCCAGACATACATTTCCTTTAAACAAAATAAAAATAACACTAAAAACACTAATCTTGGTTGAGCTGCAACGGAGAGATAAAACACGATTTCAATGGAACTCACTTTTTTTATATTTCATCTTTAATATATTGTATTTTTTTTTTTTATCAAAGTTAATGTATTTTTTACTTGATATAAGAGATATAACTCCTGTAGGCGCTGAAATTTTTCTTCCAAATATTTAATTCAACTTTATTCAATTAAATTAAAGTTAAAAAAATAACTCTCTACTAGTTAATTTACATATTCGATAGCAAAATATATCTCATCTGTTACAATTATTTTTATATTTATTAATGAATTTTATTTAATTATAAAAGAATAAATTTATTTTTTAATATGATGATAATTTTTATTAAATTTAATTTTTTATAATTGTTTTTAATATTATTTATTTATTTACATTTTACTTTCTTTTTTATTTATCGCACTTAAACAATACATTATTTTTTATAACTGTACTTTCAATCTATTTCTCATCTTTCTATTCTCTATTTCATTTCTCAGTCAAGCATTCCTTACATATTCACAACAGTGAATTAACGAGATATCATACATCTGGGATATCAAGGGACAAAAGTATATCATACATCTCAACAAAAGATAAGATTTCCACGGAAAAATCTAATGAACCAATACACGAGACAAAAAGCGCAAAACTTCACTTCTCGTGCAAGATCTAGAAGAGTTCCGTGGCTGTAGTTCCTAGAGAATTCGATAATAATCCAGGGATGCAAGTGGTACCAACATCCAACATAAAAGGTCAAATGTTGCTTGAATAAAAAGGAAAGTAAAAAATTTCTCAAAAATGAAAATATATACAAAATAAAAAGTAAAAATATATCTAACAAATTTAAATATTTTATAAATATAACTAACTTTAAATCAACAATAAATAAACTTTCACATTTTTCACTTTATGCATTTGATTACTTTTGAGGAAGCAAATCTATTCACATCTGTGCAAAGTTTATCTTTTGATTATAATTTTTTGCTCTCTATTATACTCTAATTTTAACACCTCAATAGATGTGTTACATAGTAAAATTTATCAAGCATTATTCTAAAATAAAATACAGAGGCGCTACCTCACAACGTAACAGTGGTTAATATTGCCTGAGAGTGGGTAATCAAATCTAGGAAGCCGAATGCCAAACATCTTATAATTTTATTAATTTCATAAATAAATAATTGTCCCTCCTTTTACTCCTCTACAAAATTCCTCCCTCGAAACGTGGCCTTCATGACTCAACTGAGCCTTTTAGTCACACATGAACGTTTTCATGAGACCTTTTGATGGCCTAGCTACCTGTCAGTATGTAATTTAGTATCTCAACCCAATGGTGATTAGTTAATAAATAGAATTTCATATGATAGATAAAGTAATGGTTACACTGCAAAAACGTCAAAGTAATTTCCATAAAGATCAGCTGCTTTGATCCATGTTTAGTCGACAAATAACCAAGCATCAAATCCAAAGCTTCACTCATCCGGGAGGAGGTGGTGGCATTTGTGATTTTGCGAACCCCAACCATGCAACAATGCCCACAGCCAGAACTATCCATCCAAATATGTCATACTTTAGGTCACTGCTCTTCTTTTTAGTCTGAAAAAATAACAAAAATCTTAGGCAAAATGGACAGAACTCAATGATGAAGATAACGGTTTCTCTCTTCATTGCATATCATTTTCAATTTTGACTTATTTAGTTTTTTGACACAAGAATATGGGGATTACATTATGCTGCCATGCAAACAAGTTCACCATCTTTTTAAATGTCAGAAAAGAAATGAAAGACAAGTTTAAGGTTTGCTGCCCAAAATGCAGGCATAAGAAACAACAGTCCAAGGCCCAACCAAAATCAGATAGAATGATTACCGATATCAAAATGATAGAACAAAGGTTGAGTTTGTTGGGTTTGGCAAATGGAAAAGGAAATTTTATTTGGAGAGAAAAAAGGTGAATACAACTTGGCAGAGAATTAGGAATTCTCCAAAACAAGAAATATTATATACATAGGGGAAAAAAGGCAATAGTGGTCCAATCCATAGTTACAGTTTGTGGTTATATTACAAGACTACTTTTTATGGAATATCAGCATGTGACACAGCAAATCTGATACATGATTCACAGGGATGTCGAGCAAATTCAATAACATTAGTTCAACCTCTACCTATTCAAGATAGCAACTCCCATGAAGCAACCACAAGTAAAACACCAAAGAAAAGTCAAAAGAGTAATTCCATCCCATCAGACTGCCAAAAAAAGTTTTTTCTCCATGTTTTCACCACAGCCTTTATGACAAATCCCCCAAAACTACTGCAAGTTACAATATAAACCCAGGGCTCTCTGGTAACCTAGAACTAGAAAAGATAATTCCAATAGTAGTTAGCGACTTTTAAGTCATTCAATGTAAAAATAGGTGGCTTACTGTCTCTGAGAAAGAAACATGAGATATCAAGAAATATACAACACATATTGTCAATCCTGTCAAGTACTTTAGTTCAAATAAAATACTTGATTTCAGAGGGAGCTGTGGAGTTCCAAATATGTTTGTCACGAAGAAATTTTGAAAATTTGGGGTAGGAGTAAGAAAATGTAGAAAGAAGCAAGAGAACTCCCAAAAATAATCCAAGGTCCACACCCTATTCTCAGTAGCAGACAAATTGAGCAACAAGCAAAACCAACAGTGACTGTAGTTAGTTCTTTTTTTTTTTTGTCATTCATATCTTTACAATCATGTTGGTTGTGAGGCTTATAAGGGTTCATGGTGATTTTGATTTTGAAGAGTTACATGAGATATATAATTTATTCTTGATTTATATATGACTTCATGATTATGAACACTTATTTTAAGAAATAGGAGCATCATCTTATCACTTATAAAAGTGGGATCTTAAGGTCACAAATCAATGTCTTTTTTGTACACAGTCTAGATAGAAGAATTTACAATGATTGCAAAGTGATTTCAAAAGAGAGTCTTACTACACAACATAGTCTTAGTTCTTGGTGTTTGTTTTTAAATTGGTAAACAAAGAATTCAATTGACCAAAAAATCAAGTGTTAACTACTTAAAGGTGATAAACAGTTGAATTTTAGAAAACAATTAGTAGAAGGTAATTGGGAAGCACAAGGTAATACTAATATCATTTGGGATGAAATGTCTAAGAAGTCAGAAGCAATGTTGTCAAGATCTGGATCTTACCTAGGATCGGGAAGGAGGTCAAAAATCATAAATCGTGGGATCGTAAGATCCTACCACACATGTAAAACTATACTTAAACATATGTATAAGCATAAAAAATAACATACATAAAAAAATTAACATCTAAATCACATAATTTAATTAAATATAACTTAAAAGTCATAGATTCTAAATCCAATACACATAATTAGTCAAACTAGTACTAATCTATTACAATAAATTTTGCAAGCCCCAATCAGGATAATCATCTTCTATATAGTCATGTTTATCAATATCATCCACATTAGACTCATCATCATCAGCAGGTGGAAGGTCCAAATCATCCATAGGTGTACTTGCACTATCAACACCACTGCTTGCTTCTCCATCTTGAATCAAATTCTCATCTAAATTCATATCTGATATTAGCTCATTCTCCTCCTCTACAATCCAATCATCATCAGAAGCAACATCTTCAACGTCAAAATTAGGCTCTTTCCTCCTCTTGATAATATTGCCTAATTTTGAGTTTGCAATGACATATATAACATCATTCATCATTTTTTGCTTTAAACAATTTCTTTTCTTGGTGTGAACCTAAATATCAACATAATTAATTAATAATTTAACATAATAATTAAAGTAATCCATTTGGTAATTTTAAGAAACAACTTACCATTTCAAAAGCACTTCAATTACGTTCACAACCAGATGAGCTGCATGTCAAGTTCAATACACGAATGACAAATTTTTGTAACTCTCGATGTTCTACACCATAAGATTCCCACCATTGTGCTGGAATTTTCACTTTCATTCCAATAATTGCTAATTTTGTACCAAAATATCCTTTTTTTAGCTTTGAAATACTCCAATTGACCATCAATCTTATTCACTTCATCCATGTTTTCTACCATTCTTTTTAAACACTCATATAATCCACGCTTAACTTCAAAATCAGCTTCAAAATCTGAAGCATAGTCCCTAGACGTCCAATTATTCTCAACCAATGTGCTTGCCTTACTTAAGACTCTCCATGAACTCTGATACATTCACTAAGTTCACGTGACTATATCCACAAGTCTATAAAGCTCACATCCAATGTCCACTTTATAGGTACTAAGGGAATGTTTTCTCACATAAACAATGTAGGTATGTGTGTGTTTGTGTGTGTGTGTGTATATATATATCCCATAACCATTTATTTTTACAAAATCTCTTCAAAATAAATAGGTTGACTAGGTTATTGATACTACATAGGCAAAATGCCTTTCTTGAAAAATCAAAGTATGTATTATGTAACTTAGTGGCCAATATAGTAGGTGCATAAGCATACATTTAAATTTTCTAATTTAAAAGCTATAAAGATGGAAATTTTATGCATAGTTTAGTTACAAAATCCTTGTTTCCCCACTTCAAAAGTAATTAAAGAGTTTAAAAGCATTTTGACCCCAAAAACATGCTTTCTTTTCCAAAATGCACATGCAACCTTAGAACTCTTAGCACCTTGGTTTTTTATGGAGTATACACTCACCACTCAAATCTTATAATTTTCTCACGTGGTTAGAAAGTGAACAGCACACTATGTATTAGAATTTCAATATGAGCTCGATTCAATAGTGAGGGAAAGTATATGGGCTACAAGTTTGAGGAACCTCTTTATCTAAAATGCCTTCGGCAATTTTAATACAAGACCTCTAGCTTATATACTCTTTGATATATTGCTAAACCACCAATGTGAGACTTATATCTTAAGACTCCCCCTCAAGTATAACTAGCTTTAGGCTAGTTGAGACGGACATTTTTTTTTTAACCTAGGCATGTAATTTCAAGTTTTTTGTTGTACCTTTATCTCAGGTCTTTTCTTTTTCTTTTATTACCCGGGTTTGTGCTCCTTTTCCTCTTGAAATGGACATATAATAGCCCCAAAATCACCTATTTTTACTCCCTATGACCACCGACAAGGAGTCTCCAAGGTAGGACTTCATTCCTAGTTAAGAAAAACTATCAAAATGTGAAAAACAACCTCCCTTTGTACCTTGTTATGTTGTGTAAGAAAAAGGGAGTGAGAGAGGTAGAATGAAAGCTCCAAGAATGTTCTTCTCCTTGCTCAAATGTGATGCCCAACAAGCTTCAAAAATAACTTCCTTCAAACTCTCTAAGGACGTCCAAAATGTCTTTAAGGGAGTTTTTCTTTCAAGCTCACACACAAAGCTTTCTCAAGCCAAAGAGGAGTTTGAGAAAGGTTGCCAAAGGGTGAAGAAGAAAACAAAAATGGAGGAGGAAAGGAGGAGAACTTGTCACAGCCAAAAGGAGAGGAAAGTGTGAAAAAGATGAGCTAAGTGAGGGAGGGAGAGACAGTGGTGTAATTCCGGCCAAGTGAGAGAAGGAGAAAAAAAATGATATGGAGAGAGGAAAAGAGTGGCATGGCCAAAGAGGGAGAAAAGGGAAAATTTTGGAATTTTGTAAGTCTTGGAAAAGGTGAAATAGATCTAAGGGTCCAATATTAATTCCTTACATCCAAGATCAATGGCTCAAATTCAATCCTTACAAGGAAGGTAAATGGCTAAGATTTAAAGTGGATTTTGCAAAAAATGCTAACACAACAACACATCATGAGAATGAATGATTAGTTGTCACATCAGTGATGACTAGTCACATCAAGAGATTCTCTGGATTCTTAGTCCAAACTCGACTCAAAAACGGTTTTTATCTGCAATTCAATATTATTAAATATCTCTAGGGGTCTCAAAATGCAGATGATTCTACTCCAAAAATTTTATCTATTAGTAGAATTCTGACCTGCACTATTTACAAAACTGATGAAATAAATTTCAGAAATTGAAATTTCCTTGAAAATAATTTTATAAATGTTTTTTATTTCTGAAAAAGTTTTCATTAATTAAATAAATTAAATAGACATTAACAGTTCCTAGTTTGTCAGACTGTAGGAGTGTTCCCGACAAATATCAGGACAATTACCGAACAGTCTAAATTAGGCAAAAAATGCCTCAAAATAATTTCAAACAATTGCTGTACATTCCAATCATCAATAAAAATATTTTCTTAAGGCAAACATCTCCCTTTTTCAATGAAATTGTTCAGTTACTATTAGAGTTTACATTGATCGAGAACTAATAGACAGGTTAGAAAATAGAGGACCGTACAATTGTTACTAATACAAAAGGAAAAATCAAATACATGTGTATATCTAAATATATATAAAACTCAGAGCAATATATATAGAGAGAGAAAGAAAGCTAACTCACAAGCTAATGAGTCAAACATATGAAGACAAAAGCTCGTTCTCAACTCATTAGATTGTGAGTGCAGCTCAATGAATTGCTATTAAATTGAGCCATGAGCCACTTGCAACCAAGCTTGACTGACTTCCATTTGTGGCTGCAATCACTTGATCTAAAGATCTGGAAACTTAAGTTAGTGATTCTTCATAATAAAATATGAATTACAACAACAACATCCAAGTCTTATCCTCCTACTAGGTGAAGTTGGTTACATGGATCACACAACGCAATTGAGCTCAGTCAAAAACTAAATTTTTAGAAATATGATTAATCAAAATGTCACTTGTAATAATTTCTTCTAAAGTTTTTTTGGATCTGCCTATACCCCTTTCACTAGTACCTCCAAAGGTCTTCTTTACACGTGACCAAACCATCTTAAATGGTTTTTAATCATCTTTTCCACTATAAGTGTTACTCCAATATTCTTAATCTCATAAAATAATGTATGCACAAAAACCATCAATTTTCAATCAAGAGGCACAAACATACAATGAACTCCGGTCAACAAGTGTGTGAGCAATTGGAGAGAATTGAATAGATATTTTCTTTTCTTTTTAATAAAAGAATAGGGAGAACCTTGTATAAATGAAGAAATGTTTGAACACAGGACTTAATTTAAGTGCAAAACAACTTGCAACCCCTTAAAAAAACATTAGGGGCTCAAAGATGTCAAGAGGTAATTACTCAATTTCATTGAAGAAAAACATAGGTAACAAAATAATAACCGGAAAGAGACAACAAAGTATTACCTTTGTACTCGAAGTAGAAGGTCCAGCAGCTGTCCCCATTGCCTGCAGACCAAATCCATGTCTGTGTATTTCTGCATGTAATTCAGGAGCCTTAAAAATTGTTGTTAGTAGTTGAACTGGTCTAGTAGCTAATTTTAGAACGAATTGCTACTTACTAAAAATTTTTTTAATGAAAAAGAAAGTTCATATGTTAGAAAGAATGAAAACATTGAGGATAAAGATAGCCACTAAAAACACCAAAGATTATAGAGCTGAAATAAGAACAAGGAGGAATGCATCGGGTTGAGTAGTCCAATTCTTTGTAAAACAGATAAATTCAAGAGATATTGTTATGTCCACAAGAAAAGAGGGAAGAAAAGACAATCTTTATAAAATCTTTATTGAATTGATGAATTTTTTAGTGTACAATCTTGTACCCCGGAGCAATGCTCCTCAGAGAATTTTCTCTGCCAAGTTTATAAACTAACTTTCAAAAAAGACCCCTAACTAACTCTACTAGCTGCTATTTATAGCTGGGGCTTGAAACAGAGAAACAACTCCTAACTGCTAGCTGTCATTATTAACAGCTTTCTTTTTCCTAGAATAAACCAGCCAAGGCTTGGCCTTGTCTGAGTTTGTATTTACAATGATATTAGGGCTAGGACCCTGACTCCTATCAGATACCGTATCATTCACCCATAATGAGCAAATAGGACTGAATTTCTTAACAGGGAGAACATGATATATTAAAATTTCAGTGGAAAAGTTCTCAATCAATGACTTTATTTAGTTTATTTATAACTCACCAATGGAATATAAGTTCAATGTTGAGGATCGTATGACACAGAAGTAAAATTTTCAAAATTTCTGAACCAAAGTCAACATAATTGAGTTATGCCTGGCTTTACTGTTGTATTCCATGATCTATGAGTGAAACCACATTCTCACATGCTGTCAAACTTAACTTGCAGATATCAGAATCATTTTACTAGATTCCTCGGCAATTAAGCTTATGTGAGTCATACAAGCACAATATTTGCAGGGTTCCATGATCATTGATCAAATAAACAATGTAAAAAAATAATATTGACAATCCAAAAATCTCTCTTGCCACTTTTCCTTGTTTTGCCTGTATTATCATCGACAAAGATGAAAATCAAGGGGAAATAAACTATGTCAAAAGTGAACAAAATTGTGACAGCCAATTTTACATTGCACAAGGTCATCACACTTGCATATACAAAACAGATCACAAGAGGCATTAAAAAGAGCCAAAAAACTAAATCCAAAACATCACAAAACACAACATACCTTAGCAGCCACTTCCAAGGACTTGCGATAGTAATCATTCAAAGGGTCCTATTGAAACAAAACATTCCCATTACACATTATTTTAAGCAGCAAAACACTTCCCAAACATTGATAAGACTAATATTAATACAAAGCTGAAATGCACCTCATCAACAGCTTGCTGAAAGTATTCAGCAGCTTTATCAAAATAAATTTTTGCCTCCTCAAGGTCCGGAATTAAAAATGCATTTGCAGTGTGAGCATTTCCCAGGCACCAAAGAGTATCATGCTTCCTGGGATTAACCAAGAGTGCCTGCTCCAACTTCGAAACAGCTTCTGCAAATTAAGCCACCAACCCACAGTAAGAATTCAAGAACTCCAAAAATACTCATTGAAAGCTAAGAAAAATAATCACAACTTCGAAACAGCTTCTGCAAATCAAGCCACCACCCCACAGTCAGAATTCAAAAACTCCAAAAATACTCATTGAAAGCTCAGAAAAATAACCACAACAGTAAAAAGGACCAACAGACAAGCATCCATTTCATTGCATAGTTTATTTATTTTTTAAAATTCTCTAAGCATACCCATATACATTTATATAGCCATAGGATTAAACCTTGTATCATTTTTTTGGATTCGGGAAATGTCTGAAACTGAGACAACTCTAATAAAGCTCCACCCCATCTGGTCAAGTTCTGCAAAGTGCAAACATTACACAGTGAACAATTTTTATATTCTGAACAAGGTCCCAGTCCCACACTCCCCCAATAATTTTCATTAAAAAAAAATATATATTTTTTGAATAAAACGCGAAAGAGGAAGGAAGAAGGGGAAAGCTAACGTCAGCATCGAGAGGATTAGCAACGTATGCGGCTTCTGCAGTTTTACGTGCATGCTCGAAGAACAAGAGGCGATCAAATTCGCTCTGCTGCAAATCCATGGACTCGCACACGGGATTCTGATTTTCTTACGAAAAAAATTGGTTAGGGTTTAGAGGTTTTGTATGAAGAAATGGTGTAGTATTCTGCTCTATTCAATTATATTATTCTATATTCACTTTTGGTTGTCTTTGGGTTGCTCTTCAGAACAGAACAACTCCCATCTTTACTCCTATTCTCTTCCTCTGGTAGCGTATCAGTGAAGAGGGATTGACTAGTCGTCCAATGGGTGGATAGGTTTGACTTCTAATTATTACTGGGTAAGCTAACGTGTAAGTAAAGAACAAACAATGATATTTTAACACAAACGTGTATATACTGTAATGTAGCAGCTACACACAAAAAAAAAAAGCACGAACACATTATAATAGATCCCAAAATTTCATTTTCATGCTCTCCATCCATGTTTCCTTCCCAATCTCATAGACTCATTTGATTTGACCTCTCAAATCTGATTCACTCTCAAACTCGTCAATCCTGCACTCCCTTAAGCTAGTTGAAAACCACCTCTCTTACCTGAACTCATGAACGTTGCACACTCTCGATCTCCCTCTCTCTCAAGCTCGTAGTTGTGCTCCCACGGTGAAGGTCAAGCTGCATTGTTCGTCATTGAAGCTCTTGGTCCACCGTCCACCGCTCAAGAAGCTCTTGAGAATGCACGACATTCAGAGAATGAGTCGAAGAGGTAGTTTTCATTTGCCTCGAGGCGGGTACGAGTTTGATGAGGCAGAGTGGATCAAATTCGAGAGGTATAAACAAACAAATTAGTTATGGTGTGCTAGGGTCTTCTAAAAATAAAAATAAAAAAAATAAAAAAAATAAATAAATAAATATATATATATATATATATATTATTTTTTGCAAAAAAAAAAAAAAGCTTTGAATTTGTCTAATGATAACATTATGTTAGTGGAAAGTAATATTATTATTATTAATTAGATGAATTAATTTTATAGAATCTATTTAATAATAAATTATTTTATAACTTTCACTTCTCTAAGATAAATCATTTAATATAGCAAGAAGTTTTGAAAAAATGTTAGTACAATTTTTAATATTGACAATGAATATTCTAAACCCAATTGATATACAGGTCTTGAATCAACACATTAAAATTATTAATATTAAGATTACTTTAAGCGCTTTTATCAACATTTAAAGTCATAACTTTAAGAAAAAAAATTTACCAAACTAAATAAGGAATTTGACATGTGAGTCATGGAAAGAAAAAAAACTATAATAAAAATTGAATTAGTTAAAGAATTATATCTATTAAATTTAAGACGTCTATTATAAAATAATTTTTTTAAGAGTTGTTGAGAAGGGAATTTCCTAAAAGTAAAAGAGAGGAGAGTAAAATTTATATTTTAAATAAATATATTTAAAATTTATATTTTAAAAAATAAAAAATATAAATATATTAATAATATATTTATTATCATAAATAATATATAATTTTTTAATTTAAAATTAAAAAATATATCTTTCCTTCGAAATCTCTTTTAACATATCTTTAACGTCATGTCATAAAGTTGTTATGAAACTAAAAAGTTAATAATAATAATTTTACAATTCATTAATATTAAACTTTATCTTTTAAGTTTAATAGGTTAAATTCTTATATTAAAAAAATATAAATTTTTTATTATTCATTGAAGTTAAAATGGTGTTAGTATATTTTTAATATAAAGATAAAATAAAAAGTAATAATATGTCATATGAAAGGATTAATATTTTATATGTCAAAAAACTAAAATGACGTGTAAGTGTGTGGGCTTTAAAATTATATATATATATATATATATATATATATATATATATATATATAAATCTAAAGAATAGGAACCACTTTTAACAATATTCTATATTTGATTAATAGTAAGAATTTAATCATAAACTTATAAACACTAAAATGATTTTTCTATGTAAGGATTAAAATAAAAAAAATATGTGAATTAAAATTATAAGTAAACCAATTTAATAAGTATGATATTCATCAATGATGTGTTTGTTTGGGGAAAACAAATTAAATGAGAGGAGAGGAGGATTTTCTTTTTTAAAATTTTATGTAGTTCGGTTTAAAAATTTGGAAGAGAGGAAAAGATAAATGAGAAAATTATTCCTCTTCTCTCATTTGTGTTTTTCCCTTCTAATACCAGAGGATTTGGAGGGATATGAAAATATTCCATTCCATCATATTTACTAGATAATTAATTTTTAACAAATTGCACATATTTAAAAAACAAATTAGAATTAGTTCCCATATTGGTTTTCAAAATATTACTACATAACATTCTAAATTTACCTTTAATTAAAATCAAACCCCATGCTAACTTTATCACTTTAAAGTTATTAAGCCCTTAATTAAACTCAACTATCAATATTTTACTTCAAAATTTCATATTTGAATGTTTTGATCTAAAAAATTGAATCTTAATTTTTGTTATCACCAAATTAAATTTTAGGAAGAATAAAAAATCAGCCCCTCCTCTTCAGTTTTTTTATGAGTATTTTTATAAAGCATATGATCTTGATAACATTTTGAGGACTCTTCCTTGAGAACAACATTAGAAATTTGCATAGAGAGAGGAACGTAAGAATAAACACATTAGCTTTATTTTCAATAAATGTCCATTTTAATATAATAGAATATATGAGTAGCACGGGAAAAGAACAAATCCTAGTCATGAATTTGACCATTTTGTTGCTTTAGAAAGGAGTTCACAATTTGAATAATAATTGTTTTTTAAAATTACAATATTTAATGTTATTAATAATAATCATGTGATTTTTAATAAAAATGTATTATATATAAGTTATGATTACTTGACAAATATTATAAAAAATTGTAAGAAAGTGATATATAAAAAAAGGATTTTTGGATATGGACTACGTTGACCTACTGTAACTTAGATGATTAGGTCAATTTCAAAATTTAAAAATAAGTATGAATAATTAAGTTATGCAAATACTCATTAGTTGTGAGATTGCTTTTATGTTTAGTGTTGTTTGATGGGATCATATTATAAATAATTTTTGTTCCAGTTAAATGATACACTAGTATTCTGCAGTCTCTCCTTTTATCCTCTGGCGTGACATCTTTGTGGAATATTCCATATTCTTCTCTGTTGTGACGTGGGGGAGGGTACTTGTAAAGGCACTTTGATGATGAAGTCAATGTTTAGTTTAGGGTAATAAATACTATTTAATATTCTGAAGTTCATCCCTACCTGTACTTTTTACATTCCTTTTATAGAAAAGATATTGGGCTAATGGGTTTCATGACTCAGTCTTATCTTAGCCTTCTGATTTTCTTATTAAATTAACATTTTTTTTATTGATTATCAATTATTAATCTCTAATTATCTTATTAATTTATTTTAAGACGATTGGAGAAGTGTTTGTCCTGAGGTTAGGCCAAAATGGCATAGGTACCTTTCGTCTTGACTAAAGGGGTAATCAATTTCCTTTTCCTATGAAAATGACCGAAGTGTCTTATTTAGTACACTTGCCCCCAAGTCCGAGGAGGTATGACACAAGGGCTTTTGAATGGTGATGGACATCATTCGATGTAGGTTAGGCCGAGGGGGTGCTTGATTTCCTTTATAGGAATGACCAGTGCCTTAATCCAGTACACTTGCCCCCAAGCCCGAGGAGGTATGACATAAGCTTCAGAAAAACTAGGGTTTTACCGATTTAGGGTTTCCTTAGGTTTGTGCTATGAAACGAAAGGTTGCATGTTTGTAACTGTTGATCTAAAAGGAGATCTAACAATTAAGTAGAGGGGTGGCCCTTCATATACCTAAAGCCTTGTGCTCTATAAAAAAGGTTATGGTCCAAGCATTAGGTACACTTTTTGCTTTGCACCGAGGGGTATACTCTTTTAGATTGCTTCAAGTATTCTGGTTTTTGAAGTCTAAGATACGTTTGCCTCACTGTTACCCTCTTTGTCTTTTATCTCTTTAATCTTCTACATATGAATCATTCAATGGAGTAGGAGGATTCTTTGTCAGATAAGTCGGGACCAAATACCAAATTAGTTGGTGATATGAGTGAGGCGGTTGAAATCGAAAGGATGAGGGATATTTCACCAAGACTGTGTGATGGAAATGTGGGTAACCCGAGTACTATCATTAAGCATTCGAGGGATGAGGCCGAGATGTCTAATGCCAAAGAGATGGACTCTGAATCATATGAATTTCTTCCAAACACCAGCCTGTCTAGGGAAAGGCCCAAGTTTTTGCCCTGTACCATTCCTGGTTACTAGTAGATGGACGGTGAAGTACCCGCGTACTTCTCGCGCTTCAAACAAAGCAGGTAGCTACAAACCTTTGTAGATCAATGTAACATAGTGTTGCGGGATGCTTTGGACCCCTATCTAATAACCATAAGGTCTGTTGAGGAGATGACTCGGCAGACCCTGAACTTTTATTTTTAGGTGATGGTGCCGAGATGGTCAACATCTTTTTTGTATATGAATGTATGTTTAGGGAATTAGGGATAATGCTTCCTTTTGATGAGTTTCAAATAGGTGTATTGAGGGTCTTGAATGTCGCATCGATGCAACTGCATCTGAACGAGTGGGTGCCGATACAGGCGTTCAGAATCTTGTGTAAATTTTATTATATTAAGCCTAACATAGGTTTGTTTCTTCATTTTTTTTGTACTCGACCTTCAGATAAGGCAAGATGGGTATCACTAATAAGGCAGGCTGAGTTGCCCCTATTTAAACCTTATACCTCTTCTTTCAAGGGTTTCAAGACCAAATACTTTAAAGTAACCGTCGACCCTGTTGTCGGCAAAAGGTATTTTTTTGATAGTGAGGATAGACCCTTCTTCCCTCTTCACTAGACCCGAGTACCTCGTCGATACGATATTTATCCAGAGGAGATGCTTACTCAGGATGAGCTGTCGGCATTGAGTTACTTGAAATCTCTCCCTAGAGAACTTCCTACCCGAGCACTTATCCTTTTGCCAAAATCTTCTAAGCGCCACTTAGACT